CCTGAGCCGCCGCGACCGAGAGCGCCCGGGACTGGGACCCCGCTGCTGACCGCCCTCTCCCCGCGGGAGCCCGAGACTGGACCGGTCGGGCCGGAGCCAAGGGCCCGGGACGGCGGGAGCGCGACCGCGCGCCGCTGAAGCCCTCCGGAGGAGGACCTTGCCGGGCAGAGCCGCGAGCCTCGCCCCGCTGCGCGGGCGCGTTAAATTATTAGACGTGTCTATTTATTTTGAGGGTTATTTGTCGCCCAATTGTTCTTAGCGTTTTGTTTTTGCATCACCGTGTCCGTCCCAAATAAACGACCTGGCCTCCCCCTTTTCTACCAGCCGCTGTGGCGCGATGCCTTTCCTGCCGGGAGGACGGGGACGGATTGCTTCCGACGGATATAAATGTCAGCTGGCGCCGGAAGAGCCCTGGGCTTTGGCCCCAGGCTGACTGGGTGTGGCGTGGGGAGGCTGGGCCCCCCCGTGGCATGCTTGATGGTGGGGGGTGGGTATCCACCGACTGCTCCACTTCCCGGGGGAGGGGGTTCTGAGCCCGGCCAGTGCTGCCACGCGTGGGAGGTGGTTCTCCAGCTGCCCCGCCCCTCCGCCCACACACCACCTGTGCCGCAGAGACCGGAAGGAAGCCCTCAGCCGCTCTTGGCCTTGGGCCCGACCGTCCCTGGTGGCCCGTCCCAGCGGGGCCTGGTGGCTCTGGACAGTCCAGCCACCTGCCCCTGCCGTCCGGTTGGGCACTGCTGCTGGCAAGCAACCTGTGAGTGTCAGGGCTGGGACATTGAGTGGGGGGCCTGGGCACCTCGCTAATGCCCCCTTCCTGAGGAGCCCAGGGAGCCAACAGTCCAGCCTCCTGCCCGGTCCAACCCTCGGTAAACGGAGTGGACTAAAAAGCGTGAGTCCGAGCCTGGGAGGCTTGGCGAGGCGGTGCCCCTCCACCCCAAAGGTCTGTAGGTGACAGAGCTGAGAACAGACGGTGACAGGACAGGCCACTGCTCGCAGCACAGTGAGGGTCAGTGTTCCCGGGACATTGCTGTTGGACGCCGTCCAGAGGGGGATGCAGAGTGCAGGGGAAAGGCCAGAGCCGGACCCTTGCCCACGGGGTGTGAAAGGCACTCTGATGGCTAGGACCCAAGGCCTCTGACTGCCGCCCGGAAGGCTGCGGCAGCCGCTGCAGGCCTCCCCGCCGGGTCCCAGGGGCCAGGATGGGCCGAGGGTGGGCAGCCTGCAGGAGTCCTTGGTGCGGGGCCCAGAGGGGAGCCTCTTCCTGCGGGCATTTTCTCCCCAGCTGTTGAACCATAAAGTACAGCCGGAGGCAGCTGTGGGTCTACACCCAGGGCCCGGGGAGGGGTGCCCCCAGGCCTCAGCTCTCTGACTGGGCGCCTGGACGCCCCACTCCCAGGCCCTACAGTGAGGAACCCTCCTGTCCCACCTCATCTGGGTGAATGACCAAAGTCAGAGAGTGAGACCCTGTCCCCCTGCAGTATTCAAGCAGCGGGACTGGCCTGGGCTCGGAGCCCCTCCCAGGCTGGGGACTGATGGCTGCCTTCTAGAGAGCACGTGGACCTCATGGCGTGGGGGTGGGGGGTGGGGCGCTGGCAGACCTTGGCTCCCGAAAGGCCTGTCACAGTCCTTCCCTCCGGATTGGTCAACCCAGCCTGGTCACAGTGGCCGGACTGGCCTCCCAGTGTCCCTTCTGAGAGCCCGGGACCAAGGTGGGTGGGCAGGGGGAGGGCGTGCCCCAGAGCCCAGGTCTGGTTGCTGGCCTCCCGGCCCAGGGCCTGCTGGGGGTGTCCAGGGAGGGCCAGCGGAGGGCTGAGGGCCACAGGACAGCAAGGCTGGGCGAGGTGAGCCAGGGAGCCACTCGTCGGACAGCCGGGCTGGGCCACCCCTGCTGCAGTGCTGGTGGGGCCCCTGGGACTGAGTGTGCTGTTCCACATCTGCCCGAGCCCAGCCTCTGATCTTTTACGAGGAAGCTGGTTTCTCACCAGGGACCAGGGACAGGGTGGGTGGGAGGGCGTGACCTTGAAGTTTCATGGGGGCCCCAGGCAGTGGGCAGAGCGTGCCCGTGGTGCGGGGAGCACTAAGGGGCCGTGGCAGTTGGACACCAGGGGAGCTGAACTGTCTCACACCGGGGATAAACTTGGGCCCATGCCCTGGATGATGCTGCCCTCCTTGGGGCACTGTGGTCCAGTCGAAGGCCCCCTCCTCCAGGAAGCTCTCCAGTCCCGACGAGGTGGGAGCTGGCAGAAACCAGGCTGGCGGAAGTCCAGAGAGGTTTTATTGTCAGGCCCGTCCTGGGGGCTGAGGTCACTGGAGCTTGTCCCTCTTCTGGGGCACAGGCTTCCACCAGAGCACCAGGAGAACCAGGAGGTTGACGGCTGCCTGCACATGTCCGAAGACAGCCACGCCGAATCTTCGGTACAGGAGGCCGCCCAGGGTGGGCCCCAGAGTGCGGGTCAGGGGCTGCACAGAGGCACAGAGGCCCAGCATGGCGCCTGCAAGGGAGGGAGGGGTCAGCAGGGCCAAGCGGGACCCAGGGTCACCTGGCCGGTGCACCCAACCCCCGTGGCCTGGACACAGCCATGGTCTCCCCACCCCCCACGGCCAGTGACCCTGGACTGCCCCTCCTCCAGTGCTTCCTCCTCCCGGCTTAGGGCCGGCTCCCGGGTGGGGCACGGCCTCCCTACCCCAGGAAGCCCCCGTGCCCACTCACAGGCAGCACACCCCACCCTCCAGGCCTGGTGTCATCCAAGCGTTGGACAGGGACCGTCCCCTGGCCACCCCACCAGGACTTGGCCGCAAGCAGCCCTGGGCGGGGAGAGCTGTCGGGCAGGGTGGACTGTGTCTGCACCCCCACCCCACCCCCACCCTCTGGGGGCCGCTGGAACCCTGCTGCCTCTCAGCCTCAGAAGCTGCTTCAGGAAGCCCAGAAAGGGCCACCATGTCACAGGTGCCCCTGCTTCTTGGGGCTGAACAGGGAACGGTGCCAGCAGGGCCCTGTGTGGCATGAGGTGTGTGCCCGTAGGCCATTCTCAGGCAACACAGGGCAGGGGCTGGGGCATGCGGTCCCCAAGCACAGGCCCTTCCCAGGACACAAGTGGGGGGGCCTCCTCCTGGGCCAAACCCCCAAAGCCCACGACCTGCTGCCCCAGTCCAGCGGGTCCTTGGCTCCCAGGGCTTCGGAACCAGGCCCCTGGGAGTCAGGTAGCCTGGCCGGGCAGCTGAGAAGAGCCGCCCCGGTCAGGCCGCACCAGGCTCAGGGTGGCTGGGAAATGTGGCAGAAGCCTTCCCACCACCCACATGCCCGCAATTACCACCTCCTCCACGGTCTGGGTTCCCAGGCTAGTGCTGGGAACCAGCCCGGCTCCTCCCAAGCCCGGGGGTGAGGGGTGCCTTGGGCTTGGCGTGGCTCCCTGGGCCTGGCCCAGCCTGGGCCACTGCTCCCCCAGAAAAGTCTGCTCTGCTCTTGATGTCCAGAGCCCCCCCGCCCTGCCAGGCCCTGTGCCCCTATTTCCTGCTCCCTCCTCCGGGGCCAGCCCCACCTCCTCCAGGAAGCCCTCCAGTCCCCAGAGGGTCCAGACCACTAGAGACAGGCCTGATGACAGAACGGCCCTCGGCAGCTGTGAGGACAGGCTCACCCACGGGCCGCCCTGCTCCCACCTTCTGGGCAGACAGGTGGGGGATCAGGCAGTGCCCCTGAGCCTTCCCAGGGCCCTAACCCCCAACCAGCCCACGGAGCGCCTACACTGTGGCCTGGGCAGGAGCCTGGGCCCCTTCAGCCCAGGGAACCCCGTTGGCTTGGGGACCCCTAATCTTCACAGGGAGATGCCCCGGCCTGAAGCTGGATGCAGAGTGGGGTTCAGGGCCCATGCGGGCCTCTCTCCTGAGGGGTGACCCGGGGGCTCCCTGGAGGCCAGAGCCTGGGGAGTCACAGCAATTAACAAGCTGTGTCCATTAATTAAGTCACTCATTCATTCAGTAAGTAATTAAGTCACTCATTCATTCAGTAAGCACCTGAACACGCACTGTGCCAGCGAGGTGCTAGAGGAGGGGCCAGCCCTCCAGGCCCAGCAGGCCAGGCTCCCTCTGAGCCAGTCCCACCCCATGTGTAGCCCAGGGGGCTGGCCGGGAAGGCCATCCCTCCCTCCTTTTTGGTAAATTCCTGCCTGTGTTTCAAACCAAGTCAAACACCACCTCTGTGGAGCCCTCTGCCACAGGCCTGACTCAGCCCTGGACCGGCCAGCAGGGCCTTGTGCAGGAAGGGCAGCCCCCAGGCCAGAGGGGGGGCAAGATTCCCACCTAAGCCCGCTGCTCACCCCCTCCCACCTTGCCACACCCACTACACCCCGGGGAGACTCAACACTGGCCCACGGGGTGCCCAGTGCCTGCCCCGCAGACTGTGGGGCCACCCTCACCTGTGTCCGAGGCTGAGACGGCCTTGGTCAGCATGCTGTCGGTCACCACGTTGAGGACACACAGGCTGAAGACCAGGCCGGGCATCAGGAGGCAGAAGTGGAAGATGCTGGTCATGAGCGCCTGGGCGTGGACAGGGCAGAGCCGCCCAGCTGAGCGGGGGCGCCCAGCGCCTGCGAGGACCCACCCCTGGGGTCCCACCTCAGCCTCTCCGTGTGATGGCGGCCCTCATCCAGGCGGCCCCAGGGTAGGGCACTTACCATGGCCACTCCCACGGCGGTGAAGACCAGCACGCTGGCGCGGAGCAGGGTGCCCTCGGAGAAGCGGCTGCTCAGCCACCCCAGGATCAGGCCCTGAATGACCTGGCGAGGGACGGGGCCGGGTGGAGCTGGGACTGGGCTGCCCCGTCGCAGCCTGAGGGCAGCAGGCACCCTCTAGACCAGGGAACCCGCCCGGAGCTGCTGAGGGTGGCCAGGGTGACAGGGGGCCCGCTGGATCCCGATGGCTCTGTGATTCCTGGGGCCGCGGGGGCGCTGGGTGCCTCACACACATACATGCACGCACGCACAGCAGTCACTGATTTCAGCGTTACAAACCACCATGTCACTTTCAGGCATGCCACGTGTCAGAAGGAGCCCTGGTGGCACACAGAGCGAGCAGCTGCTAACCAGAAGGTTCGTGGTTCGAGCCCCAGCAGCTCAGCAGAAAGACCTGGCAGCTGCTCCCACAAAGATTCCAGAAAACAAACCAAACCCACTGCCTTCGAGTCGGCTCCGACTCATGGCAACCCCTCCTTGACGGTATCATTGTGAAAGTAGATTGGCCAACCTTCCTTCCATCCTTCCAAGGAGTGGCTGGTGGGTTTGAACCACCAGCCTTCTGGTTAGCAACCAAGTAAGTGCCTTAGGCACTGGGCCACCAGAGCTCCTCCCACAAAGATCATGGCCCAGGATGCCTCTAGGCGCTTCTCCTCTGTCCCATGGGGTAGCTGGGAGCTGGAATAGACTCCATGGCTAACAAGGAGGAGTCTTAACCACAGGAGGGCGGTGAAGGGGGTGGGGGAGGCCGGGGTCCTGCAGAGGCAGCCGGTACCTTTGCAAAAACCTCACAGTGCAGCACAGGGACCCCACTGGCTCCACAAACCCGCTCCAGGGTCACCCCACGTGCCCTTACCCGGCCCACCCCCTTCCTCAGCTCCGCGTCCCCCCACAGAGTTGGCAGGAATCACCATCCCCTTTTGCAGCTGAGGAGACTGGGCTCAGAGGAAGTGGGGGCCCGGGCCCGCCCGCTGCCCCAGCGGCCATCTGCAGGTGCCACGTGCAGAGACTGCCGAGAGCTGCCACCTCATGTTCCCGCCGGGCAGAGGGAGGCTCAGAGAGTGGGGGAGCTGCGGAGGGGCCCAGGCTGGTGGCCGGTAAGGCTCCAGCCTCACCACCAAGTGCAGCCCCTGGGTTCCCTGTGAGGCTCCCAGAGGCGCCAGAGGCTGGGTTTCCCGAGGCTGACTGTGTCCCTCGTAAGTGCTCCTGAACTCCCAGGTGTGACCCCCTAGGTTAAGGGGATCCTGCTGGCCCGGCTGTGTGGTGCCCCTTCCTGCCCAGAGCTCCCCGTGAAGTGGGACCAGGGCACGGAGGGCTCGGAGCAGGGCCAGCCCTCCGGCTGCTCCCAGACCCAGGTCCGGTCATCTCCCCTCCTCCACCAGCAGGAAGTGCTGCCGCCCGCCCTGGGGCTGGGGCTCGTGGGAGGATGGGGCCTGCCCAGGGCTGGGGCCTGGCATGTCCTGGGGGCAGCCCTGCCCTGCAGAACGGGACCAGCCACTCCTCCCACTTCCTGCTGGGGCACAGGACCGTCCTGACGAGGCTCTCTGCTCTGCTCATGTTAGCTGCTTTTTTCATTTGGAGAAGGCAGAACTCTTTGGCACATTTTACTTAACACAACACACTTACAAGAAGCCATGAAACAACAAGATTTGAATAAAAAACGTCATCCAAACACCAACACAAAGTCCTAAAGTGTTGCCGAGATGTCTCAATTTTCCCCACTAAATAGTGGCTAAGACACTTGACTGCTAACCAGAAGGCTGGCGGTTCAAACCCACCAGCCACTCCTCGGAAGGAAGGTTGGGCAATCCTACTTCCGTAGTGATACTGCCTCGGAAACCCAAGGAGGGGTCGCTATGAGTCGGGGCCGACTCAATGGCACATAACAACAACAACAACAACAACAAAATTAAAAAAACAAAACAAAACTGTCAGTCAGTTCCACCTCCCGGCCGCCCCGCGTGTAACAGAGGGGACTGACCCACGGCGTCTTGGCTTCAGCCTTCACGGGTCAGGTCTGTGGTGCTGCTCGGTGGATTGACACCTGGAACCTGTTGGTTGGTCGCTGGCCCCAAACTCCGCCAACCACGGGCCTCCTTATGTATCTTAAACCCAACCCACTGCAGCTGAGTTGGTTCAGGCTCAGTGACCTTGTAGGACAGTGGAGGAGTGCCGCACGCATACAGTCCCCAAGGCTGTCAATCTCCACAGACGCCGACTGTCTCCTCTTTCACCTGCGGAGTAGCTGGAAGGTTCAAACTGCTGATTCTGGCTGGCAGCCCAGTGGTCTAACCACTGCGCAACCAGGACTCCCTTGAAGCCTTAACTCAAAAAACTCATTGCTGTGGAGTTGATCCGACTCATAGCGACCCCTCCTTGGGTTTCCGAGGCGGTTTCTCTACAGAAGTAGATTGCCCAGCCTTCCTTCCGAGGAGTGGCTGGCGGGTTTGAACCGCCAGCCTGGTTAGCGGTCAGGCGCCTTAGGCACTGCGCCACGAGAGCTCCCTTTATGGGCTTACAGGTTACCAAAGGAAGCAGTCCACCACCTGCTTTACGCTTTACCTCTAATGGTCAACCCGGCTCTGAGTTCAGGTTTTACCAGAACACGTGTCCAGTCCCCAATGTCACTTCAGATCCCCTGAACAGCCCCTGACCTGGGATCTTTGGGGGCCCTTAGCGTCCCCCCCTTCTTCTCTCACCACCGGTTAGCCCTCTTCTCCCAGGCGCCCCCACCCCCGCTGGGAGGTGGCCCAAGCCTCCTCATCTTTGTCCAGACGGTGGCCTTGCAGCCCCAAGCAGCCGGACCTCTGCCCGACCCTCCGTCTGCCAGAGCCCTCTCTGAGGAAATGCCCGTGAGCCTTCTGGGCCCCTCCAGCGGGCCTCTTTCCCCACCCCCCCACCCCCGTCCTGACTGGCCCACTCCTTCCTGGGTCCTTCTGCACCCTCTTGCCCAGCTCCTCACCCCCACTGTGGTGTTGGTCACCTCCTCACAGAGGCTGAGCCCAGGCCGGCCACCTGGGCCATGGCTCTCCCCACCCCGGTGCAGGCCAGAGGTCCCATGTGCACCCCGAGAGGTCTGCAGACATCAGGGGACAGGAGTCCTCCTTCCACAGAAGCCAGGCGGGCCACTCGGCCCCAGGCAGGTGGGGAACCCTTTGTGGAACAAACCCCCAACTCTGGGGTTTGACTACTGCTGTCCCTGTTCTCTGTCCACCTCCACTCCCCCACCAGGGGGTACACTGCAGCCCCCCCACTCACACACACATACCCAGGAGCCCCTATTTTAGCAGAGGTGTTGGAATGCTCCCCGCCCCCCTGGCACGTGGCCTGCCTCCCGTCAGAGGCTGCCGGGGTCCTAGAATAGTCCCGCCCCCGCTCCGGCTGTTGTCCGGGTGGCGGCATGGCGCCACTGTCCCTTCCACTCAGGGACCTGCCAAGGGTGCACTTCCTGCCCAGCCGAGCCACTGCTCAGCACTGTCAGAGCCTAACGACCCGGGTGACACTGAGCGTCATTTGATGGGGAAGACGTGGAGGTTCCGAGAGCTTGGGACCCTTGCTCTGGACCACACAGCTGGCTGAGGGCAGGACGCAGGCCCCAGATGCCCAGCACAGGCCAGCAGCTGCCCCAGCCATAACACTCCCCCCTCTGGGGTCTGCTCTGTCCCTGGTTTGACCCAGGCTGGCTGTCCTGCCAGTCCACACTACATAAGAATTCGGTAGACCATGGCCTCCTGGTATGCTGCCCACAGGCGAGGGCACTGCCTCTCCTCTCAGACAGGACTCTCAGAGGGGATGGAGTTGGCCACCTCCTCCAGGAAGCCTGCCTCGCTTATCCCTGTACCCGGTGTAGGGGCTCCCCCTGTGCTTCTCTGTGAGACACCCCCCTGCATGGGGCTGCATCTGCCTGTTTACGGCTGCTTCCCCATCCCCCAGCTGCCCCACTGCACGGGGCTGCGTCTGCCTGTTTCCCCATCCCCCAGCTGTCCCCCTGCACGGGGCTGCGTCTGCCTGTTCATGGCTGCTTCCCCATCCCCCAGCTGCCCCCTGTGCCCCTGACACCCAGCCAGCTCCCCATCCCTGGCCCGAGAGCAGAACGCAAACCCCGCTCAGGAAGCCCGAGAGACAGTTGGTCTATGCAGCCAGGCAACCTGGGTTCCAGTCCCACCCAGCCACTCATGGGTCGCCTCGGGCCTCACCAGCCAATGGGATGAAAACATATGCCCACCCATGCCAGCTCTGATGCCCCTAGAGCAGGTGACATGGTGTGACAGCAGCCTGGGGTGCTTGACCCCCAGAACCACCTCCTGGAGGCTGTGTCTTGGCTCGGCTGCCGTGGACAGCCTGGGGGTACAGGCCTGAGCCCCTCACCTGCCCACTGTGCCTGGGACCCAAACCCAAAGTCTCCGGCCAGCATGGAGCCCTTGTCACCAGCCTCACAGGGACCCAGCACCCCCAAGCCTCACATAGCAGGAGGTGCGGGGTGGGCGGCTTGGGAGCTGGGGGGGGGGTAACAGAAGGAAGGGGCTGGCCTGAGGGTCTGGAAGCAGAACGGCCGCCCAGAGGCCAGGAGGAACTGGGCTCAACGAGGCAGAAAGAGAACTCAATGGGTGACCGACAGGTGGATGGAGGAGCTGGGGGGCACCTGGCCAGGGAAGCGGGGGGTGCTCAGGAAGGAAGGACAGGGTGTCTGGAATCAATGAGAGCAGGGGGCTTTCCAGAAGAGTCCACGGCTCCCGAGAGAGAGAGAAGGCAGAGGAGGTCTTGTGAGGCAGTGAGGGTGGCACCATCCTGGACCACGGTGGTCGTGTGCGAGGGACAGAGGTGGTGAGGGCACTCCAGGGGTCGGGACATAAAGTCTCCCAGAGCAGTGACAGTGGGGGGCGGGGGCGGGGTGCCGGAGCCTTGGCTGCACAGCTGGACCCCGGTGCCGCCCTGGCTCGGGACGGGGGTGCTGGAGGGGGGCCATGAGTCCGGTTTGGACACGTCAGGGCCGGGGGCTGGTGTGATGTCCTCTAACAAGGCATGTTCACGCCTGAAACACCCCCCATCCCTGTGGACACGAGCTGGTCTGGAATTAAGGTCTTTGTGGGTGTTGCCCAGCTAAGATGAGGTCACCCTGGAGTAGGGGGCACTGACCAATGACGGGTCCTGATGAGAGGGACACGCAGGGAGGACGGCATGTCACACAGGCATGTCACACAGGCAGGGACTAGGAACCGCCAGACACCACAGAGACTGGGGGGACCCTCCCCAGAGCCTGTGAGGGATGCCTCGCCGCCCCTGGACTGTGGCCTTCCGGCCTAAAGCTGAGACAACAGGCTTCCGTCATCTGCAAGCCAAGTGTGGACGTGTGCGGGCGGCCCCCCGCTGAAGGGAGCCTTCCGGAGGCTGCAGGCCACAGGCCACGTGGGGGAGCCGAGGACAGAGTCCCGGGGTCAGGGGAGGGGCGAGCGAGGTGTGGACAGAGGCATCACGTGAGGGAGGCGGGGGGCCGGGTGTGAGGTGTGGGGAGCCCGGCGTGCATCCACTCACCATCTGCAGAACCCCAAAGTAGGACATGAGGTAGCCAGCCTGGGCAGCCTCCAGCTGGAAGAAGTCCATGGAGATGATGGAGAACATGACCATGAAGAGCCCTGGGGACGGAGAGATGGCCTGGGTCCGCGGCACCACCACGGCCTGGCTGCGGCGGCCCCCGCCCGTCTCAGCGGCGGTGGGCCCCCGGCCGGCCACATCATGGCCTCTGGTTAGTGGTCCCCTCCCGCGCCCGCTGAAGGTTTAAGCTGTGAATCCACATGGAGTGCAGCATCTGCCAGGCCAACGTCCTCCCTCACCAGTCAGCCGCTGCAATGGTAATGGCGTTTGGCTGTCAGTCACATTACTCGTTTCCACATTTCCCATAAGCCTCAGCCCTCAGTGTTCCTAAGCCGGGCCCCCTGGTAACCTCGGCCTCTAGATGTCCCAGATGCTGCACGACTGGACTCCAAATGGTCTCCAAGGCCCATATACGTAGGGAGGTGACTTGACTGGACTCCGAATGGTCTCCAAGGCCCATATACTTAGGGAGGTGACTTGCACCCTGGTCATGCAGCCCACAGAACCGCCTAGAAGGCCTGGATGGGGGAAGGTGGGGCCCAGACATGGCCCGCCCAGGGCTCCCAGCTCATGGGGTGCTCAGCAAGGCAGCACTTTCTGCTTCGTGCGAGATTAACCCCTTAGTGTTACCGTGGAAACATCTGAGAACGTTTGAACAGTAGCCTCAGGGATCCGTCCTCTGTCTCATCCCCTGGCGTCCCAGTTAGGGGATCCCAGGCAGGGTTTCGGAGTGACAGGGTCACTGTGGGCTGTGGTCAGGGATGCCCTCCGGGTGGGCCGAGGGCCTGAGGGCTGTCTGTCCCTGTGTCTTCAGAATCCCTGAACTTGCAGGTGCCTGTCTGCTGTGAGAGGACTTGGAACCCAGAGGCAGGAAGGTCAGAATGGTGGGTGAAGCAGGAGCCTGTCCTGTGTCTTGGTGTCACGGATGGAACACTGTCCCCTAGAAAGACTATGCTGGAGCCCTGGCCCCAGGACCTGGGAACGTGACCCCACTCGGACACAGGGACTTTGGAGATATAATGGGTTTAATTCATATGGGTCATAGTGGAGAAGGGTGAGTCTTAATCCTACTTGCGTGGTGTCCTTATAAAAGGGGAGAGGAGACACGGAGGGACAGAGGGAGCTGGCCACGTGGAGACCTGGCAGAGATGGCAGTGAGGGGCCGTAAGCCTAGGAACACGTGGGACCAGCGGGACCTGGGGGAAACAGGAGGGACACCCCGCCAGAGCCTCCAGAGGAAGCATGGCCCTGCTCACACCCTGACCCTGAGCTCCCAGCCTCCAGCGCCCAGAGAACACACTCTGTCCTCACAGGCCTGCAGGTGGTGGTGCTGCAGCACGTGGCCCCAGGACACCTGGGCCCTCAGTGACCCCCTCCCGGGGGGGCTGGTGGTGAGGAACGGGGGCACCTGTTTCTGAGCCCCTCCTCCTCCCTATGCCACCACGTCGGCATGACCCAGTGGGACAGAGGTGTGCGCATGGGTGCAGGTGAGGTGTGACAACGGGGCAGTGTGGACACGAGATGCCAGGTGCCCCCACATCCTCCCCACGGCCCAGCTGTCTCAGCTGCACGGGCTCGGCATGAAGGCGGCAGGTGGGACTCACCTGAGGGGAAGCCGGAGACCACCTTGATGAGGAAGACAGGCAGGACGCCAGGCAACAGCAGCAGGTGGGTGATGGCCTTCAGGTCAAACACGCCCGGCTTGGGCCCACCTGGGGCAGGAGGGCGTGTCAGCCACCTGCCCCAGTGCCCGCTCTCCACCAGCCTCTCTCTCTGAGTGGCAGACGACCTTTGGGCGCCTGTCCCTGTGCCCTGATGTGGCCACAAGCCCAGGAACACCTGGGACCACCAGGGGCTGAAAGACGCCAGGAGGGTCCTTCCCTAGAGCCATGAGAGGGAGGGTGCCTTGATCTGGGCTCAGGGGTGGTGATTTGGGACGTCCCAGGGAGGAGACGCTTGCTGTTCGAAGCCCATCCAGCGTGGCACTTGGTACAGCAGCCCCAGGAGCTGTCGCGTGCCCCTCAAGCCCCTTGCAGCCTCCCCAGTCCTGCCCCCGTAACTCCTCTGCCTCAGGCCCCAGTCTGCCTGGCCCCTCCCCATGCCCTTGGAGACAAGGACCACAGGCCCCTCTTCTGACCCTCCCCCCCAGCTTGGCTTTGATGGGGTCAGCCGCTGGGAGCCACCCCGCACCCCAGAGGGGCTTGAGGAATGAAAGTGGGTGTGAGGGTGCCCCCGAATACCCCTATGCCTACGCACCCGAGCCTGGAGCAGGCGGCCCTGTCCTGAAGGTGCTGAAGGGGACCCCGGGGGAGTGGTGCCTGGGCTGCAGGGTGCGGGCGGCAGGGAGGGCTGGGCTGCACACAGGAGGAGTCCCCAGGGGGCCTACCTGGGCGGGCGGCCTGAGCAGCTGCGCTGGCTCCCTTGGTGCTGGCCGGGATGCAGGTGAAACTAAGGGCGGCGCCCAGGAGGTTGGCCACGAGCGCCACGAGGGCGGGACACTGGATCCTGGGGGCGGCAGTGCGCTCAGCAGGGCAGGGGGCACGGGCACCACCCCTCACTGCCCTCAGTCACGCTCAAGCCAACCTGGATGTCCCCATGGTGAGGGCGGGGACAGGGCCAGACCCTACGGGGACACGTGCTTGTAAACGGATAGAGCCCCTTACGCTGGCCACAGCCCTGAGTTCACAAGCACAAACCCGGGGCCTCCAGCGGCGGGCAGCAGGGCCAGGAGGCCAAGGGTGGGCTTTGGGCCCTGAGGTATGGGGAGAGGGAGGTGTGGCTCTCAAGGTGCAGAGGGGCTGGAACCAACCAAGAAAGTGATTCCACTCACAGCGCCCCTGGAGGACAGAGTGGAACTGCCCACAGGGTCTCCAAGGCTGTCAGTCTTCACAGAAGCAAAGCTCAAACCACACCCACTGCCGTGGAGTCCATTCTGACCCATAGCGCCCCTGGAGGACAGAGTGGAACTGCCCCACAGGGTCTCCTAGGCTGTCAATCTTCACAGAAGCAAAGCCCAAACCACACCCACTGCCGTGGAGTCCATTCTGACGAACAGCGCCCCCAGAGGACAGAGTGGAACTGCCCATAGGGTCTCCAAGGCTGTTTGTCTTTGTGGAAGCTGATGCCTCATCTTTCTCCCCAAGAACGGCTGGTGGGTTCAAACCACTGCCCTTCTGGTTAGCAGCCGAGTGCTTTAACCACTGCATCACCAGAGCTTTGAGGGGCACAAAAGGCCCCCAAAATTCTGCCTGGGGAAAGAAAGGGCTGGGCCATCCCTCCTGGCCTGGGGAGGGATCAGAGACAGGGGTGGGCTCTGTCCTGGGGGCTGCGGGGTCCGGTGCCTCAGTCCCAGGCTGTGGGGGGGGTCAGGCCCCACTCATTTTACAGATGAGGAATCTGAGGCTCCCAGGAAAATTCCCCGTCCTTCAACATACAAATACCTACATGTACGTTCATACATACATATGCATAACACATATATACATATACACATACATGTATAAACATATACACGCGCAATGTATGCAGCTGCACGTATAAACACATGTACACACATCTGCACACATCTATACACACGTGCTCACACATGCACACACACATAGATGCACATACATATAAATGCACACACATCTGCACACACATGTACACACATCCACACGCATGCATGTACACACATATAAACACATACACATCCATCTGCACACACAACCACATACACATGCACACACGTGCACCCACACATACGCACGTAAACAGGCATATCCATCTGCACCCACACATCCACACACCCACACATCCACACACACGTGCACCCCGACACACGCCCATGCACACATGCTTGCTTGAAAGCACACTCACACCCCCCATAACAACTCTGGTAGGAAGTCCCTGGCAAGGCGGCCCAGGCCTCTGCCTAGCGGGACTGGGAGAGGTGGCCTGGCCTCCCCGTTGCAACCTGCCTGGGGCCACATGGTCTGTTTAGGGTGGTGCAGGCATATGCCCACTGGCCCCCACCTCAGTCCCTCTGGGGTCCCTGTGACTTTGCTGCCACAGGCCAATGCCCCCTGTGTATCTGAGTTTCCTGGCAGCTGAGGCTCCCCAAGATGGGCCTTCCCAGGAGGGCCGAGGCCGGGCTTAGGCCCACACCCCACCTCCGGCTGCAGGGCCGGCTGTGACGTGAGGGGCCGCCTCAGAGAAGGGCCCTTTTGTCTGGACTCTAGCCTCAGAGGCCGAGCGTCACTGCTAGCGCCATTCGGGCAGACACAAAGCTGCTTCCTCTCAGATGCTCTGTGAACTCAGAGCAGAGGGAGCCACTTGGAGGCTATTTGGGGAGGCTGGTGACAAGAGAGGCAGGCAGCAGGCAGCATGTCACCTGTCACCACAGAGTGGCCGGCCAGTCGGAAGTTAGCCCTGCCCTCGGGGTACGGGGGTGCTGTCCTGGGAACTTGGGATGGCCTGTCCCTTCAAACGAGTTGCCAAAGAGGACTCGGGCACGTCCAGGGTGGCAGCGGCAGATCCCGGCCTCTGCGCGAGGGCCCTTCCTGGCCAGGGGGGCCCTTCCCGGCTCTGTGGCCACATCTGACTCTCCAGACCCAGCTGAGCCCCTGCCCTCCAAGACGCCCCCCAGGTCTCGCTCCCCAGCACCCCTTCCAGGGGGGCGTCTCCTCCCTGGGGTCTTATGATCCAGGGACGTTGGACAGGGCACCAGGCCCCCCCAGCCCCCTTTGGGTCTCAGGGCTCCTCCAATTCTTTGAAACAGCGAGGATGATTCGGGGGAAGGAGGCCTGGTGGCTCGGAGGTTAAGTGCTCGGCTGCTAACTGAAAGGCCTTCTGTTTGAACCCCCGGTGGCTCTGAGAGGGAAAGACCGGGTCGTCTGCTCCCATAAAGACGACAGCGAGGAGACCCCTGACACGGGCTTGCTCGGGGTCAGATTTGCCAGGACCGCCCCCACCACAACCATCGGGGACACGGAGCTGCTGTCGGGGTCATGGCGGAACCCCAGGATGAACGAAAGGAATGTCCTTGCCCAGGGGGCAGAAACGACAGCTGTTTTTTTACCTGTATGTTTACACTAAAAAGGTAAAATGAAAACAAACCAAACCTGAGCAGCTGTTTTGAGGGCAGGGGTCCCTTCACCTGTCTCTGTCCCTCTCTTAAATTTTTGGCCGTGCAGATGGAGGCGGGGTAAGGGACCCTGGGGGGGCTCAGGGGCAGACGGAGGTGGGGAAAAGGACCCTGGGGGGCTCAGGGGCAGGCGGAGGCGGGGCATAGGACCCTGGGGGGCTCAGGGGCAGACGGAGGCGGGGCATAGGCCCCTGGGGGGCTCAGGGCTGGACCATCTGCCCCTATCCTGTGGCTGACTTGCTGGATGACCTCATTTCCTCTGTCCCCACCTTGAGGCTGCATCACTCGTGGGCCTGTGGGCATCCCTGTCAGGTCACCATGGGGGACCCCAACCCACCCCTGCTGGCCACCATGGAGGACCCCGACCCACTGCCATCTGGCCGCCACAGGGAGGCCTTTAGAAGTGGCCGGCAGGCAGGTGGGGGCTGGGCAGTGCTGGCCTGACAGGTGACCTCATTCTTATCTCGAGGGGCCAGTGCTCAGGTGGCCAGGAGGGCAGGGAGCCTGGCCGCCCCACCCTGCTCTGTATCCTAGCGCCCCACGCCTGACCCTGTGCAGGCCCCCACTGGCCCTAAGCTGGCAGTTCCTCAGGGGCCACCGTCACTCTCTCCACCTGCTTCAGGCTCCAAGAGGTGAGGAGACCTGGCCCAGGTCCCCCCGCTGTCAGGGTGGGACCCCAGGCATGGGTACGTCCTGCTGCCGGGAGATGGGTCCTCCGGCCCTGGCCCACAGGCGGCTCCCAAGCCTAGCCTGGGGGACAGGAGGGAGCCGGTGGGACCTGGCTGCTGCGATGGCAGGGAGGGGCCTCCGAGAGTCATGAGCTTGGGGCGCAGGAGGAGAACTCACCCTGCCCTGCCCTCCACTAAAGTGAGGCCCAGGGTGCCTGAGACCACCCTGATTCCAATCTCCCCCTGGCTTCTAGGGCCCCAGAAAAAATTCTCCAGACCTGTGTGGGGCCCCCCCTTCCCAGAGCTGGGTGTCTCCCCAGCACCCGCCCCACCGGCCCCACCCCTCTCGGCCACTTTCGCCCTGTCCCTTAGCGCTGGGAACACTGGGGCTCTCTCCTCCGGGGCCCGGGGTGCGGGTGGGGTTGGTTCCGGCAGGGGCACAGCCCGGGGCTGGCGGGTGGTGGATAGCGCCCGATGACCGCTGAGTCACTGCCGTCCCAGCCGCCCGGACTGTCTGCTCATTAACCTGCAGGGAAAGCTGCCTTGTCGCCTCACGGGAAGCGGAAGTGGGGAACAGGCTCCCCACGGCCTCACCCAGGCCAAAGGCCCAGAGAACGCCCTGCCTTGGGTTGCATTCGGAGGCCGCTGGTCCCAGATAAGGTGGAAGGAGGTGCGTGCTGGGTCCCCGGGAACCTGTGAGCACCCCGCCCTCCTTGATGTCAAAATGGAATCTTCTAGGGACCCTCATGATTCAAACCTCCCCTCACTTCCAGAGGCCCCCACGGCCTGTCAGGGGACCCCCAGGGTCTTCACCGGACCTCCACCTCCCCTTCGGCCCTGCCCCCTCACTCATCACTCGCTCCCTCTGCCCTGGCCCCCTGCTCTGTGTAGCTAGGTCACCCTGACCACACGCCCCTACACCACTGGACGGGCCTGGGCCACGGCCGCCCTGCCAGACGCCGTGCAGGCTTCTCCCTGTGTCCTGCCTGCCTTTGCTCAGGAGCCGACTTGACCTCCCCCCTTGCCCACGAAGGATGAACCTGAACCCCGCCCACCAGCACCTCCAGCCCCTCCCGCCTGCTGGCCCCCCGGCAAGTCACTGCCATATGGAGGCTGTCACCTTGAGAATATCAACCCACAGGGCAGGGACCTCAGGTCGGTGGCCACGACGGGCCTAGAGCAGGGGCTGGGACATGGCTGTGTGCTGCCCCGGGAATTCACCCTGCTGAACCCCAGCACACAGGGGTGGCAGGGGACCCCAGATACCCCTTTATATGAGGTCTAGGCTGAGGAAAGGGGCCTGCCTGGCTTGGAAGGCTGGGTCCCCCACCCTGCGCCGTGGGGGCGTGGTACAGCCCTGAAAGGCCGTGCTCCCCACTCTCAGCCCTGCCCGTGTGACTCACCCCACCCTCCCTGGGGAGCCCTCCCGGTCCCAAGCCCAAACCAGTTCTGCCAGTGTCCGCCCCCGCAGGCCTCCCAGGTTCGAACCCATTTCCTCCTGGCACCTGCTGTGGGTGCCAAGGGTGGGACATGGCAGGGGCCTCTTGGGGCCAGGGCATCCAGGGGACAGCTAGTACGGAGGTGGCTCGGGCGGGAGACCCCTTCTGATGCCCTGGTTTCTGGGGCGGGTGTAGGGGGCTCCAGGCCTGAGGCAGGGCAGCAGCTGAGACCCGGGGCATCAGGGCCTGAAGCCTCCTCCCCCAGGGCCACAGAGCCCACCGCCCTCTGGGGCCCACAGGGAGGTGAGGGCACCCGCAGGTGATGGGTGCTGGTGCACAGGGACAGCTCGGGGTGGGGGCCACCTGCACCCTTCCCCACCCCTCAGGTGGGGCACAGGTCACCAACACCTGGCCTCCCACACAGCACCCCAACTCCCGGCCAGCTGGCAAAGGCTGCCGGGTCAGCTTCAGCCACAAGGCCGCATGAGACCCCAAAAGTCTTGGGTATGACTCTGACTCTGTGCTGTCCTCAGCCCTGCACTAGGGCCCAGCAGCTCCGTGGGGGCCTTCACCCTCTGCCGAACCTCAGTTTCCTCATTAAAGGGGTGGCACCCAGGGTGTGGGAAGAGGGGCTCGTAGCCCTCATAAAATGCCTCAGACCCTTTCACTGGCACGAAAGGAGGTAGGAAAGTGAACGGGAAGGTGAAGGGGCTGTGGGGAGGTGTGGGAGGGAGACGAGGCGAGCAGGGTCCCGGGTCAGGAGCCGGGATGGAGTGACAGGCAGGCGGGGACAGGAGGAATCACGGGGTGGGGCTCCGTGTGGCCGCACAGGGCTGCCCTTCACGCTCAGGCCCGAAGCGTCCGGGGGTGGGTGAGGGCCTCCTGCACAGCTGGGAACACGGAGGCCTGGCAGCGTCAGGAGACGGGAGACCAGGGCCCGGGCTGTCTGGGCTGCAGGGGGTGTCTCCAGGGGTGGGGTGGCAGCCCTGCCCCGGTTACGGTCTGGCCTGAAGAGGGCAGTCCCAGGAAGGACATCACCTGGGACAGGTGCAGACACGCTGGCCTGCCCCCGCCACCTCGGCCGACCGCCCCAATTGTCTGCCCAGCTCAGGGCTTCGGTCAGTGTGCCCACCTCTGAAGGGTCCTTGGGCTGGGACAGCAGGAGGGGCAGGGCTCCCAGGGCTCTAAGCCTTCACACGGGCAAAACAAGGCGGTGAACAGGCCAGTGGTCGCGTCCCCAGGGCTGCCTGGGCCAGGGGTAGACAGGGGGCCAGGGCAGGGTTGCCTGGGGCGGAAGGTGGGGTGGATGGGGGCCAGGGCAGGGTTGCCTGGGGTTAGGGGTGGTCGGGGGCCAGGGCAGG